CCTGGAACTGCCCCCCTCCCTCCCAAGCACGGGCTCCCTGGGGAACGTGTGGGATTCCAGCCCCGGCGTGTCATTCTGCACGGAGCAGCGCTGGGTGCTTGCAACGCTCCCCCTGCGCCGGCAGAGCCTGGGCACTTCCTGCCCCACCGCCTGTTTTCCTCCCCGCGCCTTGCACTCGTCTGCCTGACCGCTTCCACACTGACACCACGGGGCTGGAGAGCAAAATGGCTGCGTGAGGGGGTGTGTGTGCAGGCATGCGCACACCCGTGTGTGTGTGTGTGCGTGCACGTGTGTGCGTGTGCACGTGCACACACACACATCTTGTCAGGGCAGAGCGGGTTTCTGACTGACTATGGAGGTGTTAATCCAATTGCCAGCTACTGAAAAGCCTTCAGAGGCTGTTCATCATGTAAATGGCATTAGGAGGGATGCTCAGTCAGATCCCAGCCTTGCATTCGAAGGGGAGCCGGGTCTCGTCTCCCTTGCCGGGATCATTCCCTTGCCTCAGAGTGAGGCCAGGTGGGCTCAGCGTGGGGATCGCACCAGGGGCCAGCGTGCGCCGGGGGTGTGGTTGGGCCACAGCTTGCTGCGGCGCCACGTCTGTGCGCGATTCGCCAGGTACCTGGGCCAATGGGGCCCGTCATCTCAGGCACGGCTTGTATGCCAGGCACCATTCACACCGAGTCCAGCTGTTTGGCACTCACCGGTGAAACAAGCCAGAGAGTTCTTAGCCCCCATCACAAAGCCCCGCCCCCACCTCCGGCTGGCCGTCCCTGCAAACAAGGTCAGATTAGAATAGGGCCCCCGAGGCAGAGCTGCTCCCAGACCTGGTTCAGTGGGGGTCCTGTGGGATCAGGGGCAGCCTGCAGCCACACAGCCCATGTTCCATGGCAGGAAACAGGCCACGGGGCAAACCCCAGCAGAACCCTGGGTTAGAGCTGCCACCTCCAAGAGGCAGAAGAAATGGCCACAGGCCACCCCTGTCTGGACACAAAGGTCCTAGCACCAACTGAAGCTAAGTCCAGCCCCTCCCAGGAGCTCCTGTCTGCACCACCCAGGCCCACTCCTCACGCCTGTCTGCTCCAAGAGGCGCTGCTGAGCTCAGGGAGGCCCCAGGTGCCGGCTGGGCTCCCAGGGGTAGCGAGAGGTGACAGCGAAGCACAGCACAGACAGCCTGGCAGTGCCAACACCAGGCAGGTGGCAGCCCTACCCCTTCTGGGGCTCTTTGGGGAGTGCAGGGGAGGAGTTTTGCTCTGGGGCCTCCCTGAGCTCAGAGACAGACGGCGTGGCTGCCTGCAGGCCCGGCCTTAGGCTGTCCCCGTCCCGAGCCCAAGTACAAGGGCTGTGGCCGGAGCTGGTACTGGACAAGGTGGTCACCTGCGTCGCCGTGGGTGCTGCTCATCTCGCTGGCCTTCACGCGGGAGATCTCCATCGGTACCTGCCCGGCCAGCCCTGAAACCTGGCGCCCTGCCACTGCCCCGACCGGATCCCCCTGCATCACCCTGCCGGCATCTGGGCTCCAGCCCAGCTGCATTGGCAGAGCTGCTGGAGCTGGCCTGGCCCACATGTGTTGACAGCTCTAGGCTGTGCTTGGCCCTGCTGAGCTGGGATGCAGCCCCGAGCCGCTCGCCTTTCTCCCTGGCTTCCGCAGCTTGTGTTTGATCGGAGTGGAGGGGAGAGTCACATGGCTCAGCAGAGAACCTGGCCTGGCCAGTGTGTTTGGAATAGACCCTGCGAGTGACTTGTGCTGCCCAGGCGGGACTCTGTAACCCCAGAGTGGAGCGGGTGAGGGGGACCTCTTTTAGGTTGGGGGCCGCTGACCTTCCTGAATGGCAGCTTAGAGCAGCAAAATGCCGCCTGATGCTCTGATGGGAGAAGCAGAGTCGTCCAGGCTCACCTGTGCATAGCACCGGGGAGCTGTGGCTCTCTAGCTCCTGAGGCCCACTCTAAGGAACAACTTCTCAGCAACTGCGGCAGGGTCTGGCTTGGCCCCTCACTGTCCTACATGTAACAGCATCGATCCGTGGCCTGCTACTGCAGGAGCCTTTGCCCTGCAGCGTCAGCTACAGCAGAGAGCCAAACAGCCCACAGTTTAGAGAGCAGCTGGCAAAGAGCCCGCAGCCTCACCGTGCCAGTCCCAGCAGGAGGATGCCTCGCTGGGAGCGCAGACCCACTGACTTGTGAGCACAGAGCTGGGACTGCTTTCAGTGGGCAACTCCAGCTCCCACTGGCAGCACACAAACCGCTCCCTCCCTGCCCATGAAATACAAACCAGAGAGGCAGCTGGCTCTTTGGGAAAGTTAATTAGCACAAGAAAAAAGCTTTGATTGAAAGAGACTCCAGGTGAGTGACAACTCCTAATCTGAGGAGGAGTAATTCCGGGAAGTAGGGGGAGCGTGTGCGGGTGTGAGACAGAGAGAGGTTCCTTGCCATCCATCATGGGGGGGCAGTTAAAGAGCTACTGCAAAGATAAAGATCTGTTCCTATTTTTCCTCACATTGCCCTTCAAGGAAATACCTCGATCGTGACTATTAGATCAAGCTGCAGAGTAACAGAAACATGAAGGGGTTTGGTTAGGAAATAAAGGAGCTCTCGAACCATCGGGGGGAGGGGAGGGGGACGACTGCACAAAACCCAAGACCACATGGAGCTCAGAGTATCACCCTCTGCATAGTATTTGCACTAGTGCTCCCTGGTGTGATGTACCAGCTCAGAATGCCCTTGTCTCTGGTGTTAATCACTGCATGGGGAGTAAGCAAGATCAGCAAGGGCCACTCTACCCTGGTAGGCATTTCACAGTGAAAGCCAAGCATTTAAAAAGGGGCTGCTGGTGTGGAAGACCCCACCTTGGTGCCTGATTTGTAGAGATGCTCAACCCCCAAATCTCCAGGTGAAGCCTAGAAGAGCTGAGGGTTCCCAGCTTTGTTTGTAAATCAGTCCCCAGGTGCTTCAAGTTGGGCTCTGAAAAAGGAAGTCACCCCAAATCCATGAAAATTTAAGCTGGCCTTCTAACTAGGTGGCCCCAGGATCTGAATCTGACGTTTGTGAGTGTAATTAGTTGGATAGGAATCCTATTTAAAACAATTTCAACCTGAGATAATTAAACTGGATGAATTTGATGAGTCTAATTTACTTCACTGCTGATTAACTTTGCTTCATTTTGCAATGCAGTCAGCTGGGAAAGGGAAACAAATTCAGTTCTGCCAACTCAAGTGATTTTATCTAAGTCTGCTGCTATTCTTTGTCTCCTTAAGTCTCCAGCTGCTGGAGTCAAGTGATCATGTGAGATTATCAACTTTTTTTATTTTTATTTTTCTCTCCCTCATGATTGTGGAGAAAATCTTGAAACTGTGACCTAAGGAGTACTTACATGTTGGCAACCAGCAGCTAAAAAAAAAGTCGTGACATTGAATTTCGTTAAAATCTCAAAATTTTAAAGCCAGTCTCATGATTTTTCAGTGCTGACTCATAAATGCTGGAGGGATGGCCAGGCTGCAGTCTTGTTCTGGCTCACTTTGGCTTGGATTTTTAAAGGTATTTAGGCAGCTCACTCCCATTCTTGTCGGTTTCACTTCCACAAGTCCCATGCGCTAGCCCAACGATTCTGAGACTTCATTGTACTGCGGCCCCCTTCTGACAACAAAAATGGCTCCATGATCCCATGGGTCCCACGAAACTCAGCTGCTCCGGCTTGGGTTGTAGGGTTTGAGCTTTAGCATTCTGTCCAGAGCCGCAGCAATGCCAGCTCTGGTGACGCATTAAAATGAACTCGTGACCCACTTTGAGGGTCCTGACCCACAGTTTGGGAACCACTGCACTAGCCCAAATGCTGAAATTCTCGCTTCTTGACTCTGTCTGGGCAAAGCTCCCACCTCCTGCCAAAACAAAGATCCCATCTGCTCCCATTGTAAACGAAATTCAGGGCAAAGGAATTTTCCAATCTGTTAACTTTGGTCTCCCTTTCAGGCGACCCCGAAAGTTCAGGCTGGAGCCATTTGTATTTCCAATTGGAATCATTTTTGTTTTACATCAGCAGAAAGTAACAAAAGGAGAGAACACAGTGAAGTCCTTGGGCGCTCGCTGTCTGTCTCTCAGCGCACGTGTGCATGTGTGGGTGTTGTCTGCACTGATCAGAGCCCAGAAAGGCAGCTGGCTCTAGCAGATGGCAACAAGTTCTAGGGAATTTAAAGGGGAGAATCCCATTGAGCCAGACTGCCAGGCTTTGTGCTGCTGCAGACAGCGTTTGAAAGAGCGAAACCTCCTGTTTCAGGGCATTAGCTGATCTCTAACTGGTTGGGATGGGGAAGAGCCGTTCATTGGGGCAGATCACCTCATCTCTGCCTGATTCGGGGTTCTCTGCAGTGCCTGTGGGAGATGGGTCCTGCAGTGGGTTACAGGCTCCCCGAGGGTCACTGGCCGTGTGTAGGGAGCTCAGTGTGCTAGTAGCTTGTAGTGCTGCTCTGTTGGAGAGCCGGCTGAGAAAAGCTGGTGGTTCTCAGCCCAGCACCGGTGCTTAGCCCCAGGGCAAAGCCCAGGCCTTGATGTCCTGGAATGAGCATCTGTGCAGCATCTAGACATGCAGCTGTGCTGGAGCAGGAGCAGGACAACAGGTCTCCAAGCTGGGAGCTGCCCACTCCTTCCCCCCCGGGCAGAGCAGCTCCTGCAGCTTGCTGTGGCCTGGGGTTGAAGCTGCAGGTTCAATCAGCCCCACTGCTGATTCTGGGTGTGCATGGCAATGGGTTTCTTTGAGCCAGTGTGGCTCAGATACCAGCTCCACCGGCCTCTCCTCCAGCCAGGGAGCAGGGCTCTTGCTGCCCTTGCCCCCAGAGGGGGACATGTATAGGCTGGCAGGAGCCAGTGAGTGAGGAGCTGTGACAGAGGGTATGTACTGGGCCGGGTAGGGCACCGGCTGTGATGAACCCATGCAGCCTTTCTCCCCTATGGCTCCCAGGGGACGCTGGCAGAGGCCAGGGGTGACCCATGCCTGTCCTGTCTTGCAGGTTGAGGTACATGGTGAAGCAGCTGGAGAATGGCGAGGTGAACATCGAGGAGCTGAAGAAGAACCTGGAGTACACAGCCTCGCTGCTGGAGGCCGTCTACATCGATGAGACCAGGTAGGCTGGGGCATGCCTGCCCCGTAGCGCCCCTGGGCATGCTAGGGGCTATCTGGGGATGGCTCCTCCTGGGGGAAGGCGTATAGGGGATGGGGTGCCCCTTTACAGGGATGGGGGGTACATAGGCAATGGGGTGCCATGCTGACAGGGGTGTTTATAGGAACAGAGTGGTGTCCTGCCTGGGCAGTGGGGGGGGGGGGGGGGTTGTAGGGTGCCGGGTGCCAAGCTGTCCTTCAGTGGCTCAAGAAAATGAGCACCAGCCTCCAGGCAGACGGCTAAGAACCGGGACACAGCCCCCTCGAGTTCGGAGCTTAGACTCCTCAGGCAATGTAACAGCTCAGCCACAGGGTCGCAGACAGTCCCCCATGGCACTCAGATCTGTCCTGCCACCAGGTGAGTCGGCCTTCCTTCGTGGCAGACGGTCCCTTACTCTAGGGATCACGGCAGTAGTCAGGTTACTCCCAGTCCCAGAGGGCCAGTCACTTACTTACCGCAGTTCACACCAAAGACAACGCTTATAACCAACCCTGCAATGGATCGTAAACAGGTTTATTAACTAGGAGAAGGAACTAGAGTCATTTACGAGGTGGAGTCACGTGAACATTCACACTCAAATGAGTCCCACGCTTACGTTTCAAAAGGCAATAGGCTCTTCTATGCTAAGCAAACTCAGCACGGTCCTTTGGGCGAACCCAGGCTAAGTACTGGGGATCGTTTGCTTGTGCCCAGTAATCCTTGCCCCTCAAAGTCCAAGCAGTGTAAAGCATGGGCAGTGGGAGAAGGTAGGGCTGCATGAGGCAAGTCTCCTGCCCCCAACTCTGCCCCTGCTCCCCCAGCACCACGGGAAGGGAGGAGGGCACGGCTCCAGCCTCCCCAGCCCTAGAGCACTGGGGAAGATGGGCAGAGCGCAGCCCCAGCCTCTCTGGCCCCAGATCACTGGGAGGACCTGGGGTCAGAGGGTGGGTGGGGCCATGCCTGGTGGTTTGGGAAGGCAAAGCCCTCCCCTGTCTATTATATCTGCCACCCCGGGTACGGTTCCTCCTCGTTAGTGCTCTGGATTGATTTCCCCTTTCTGCTTCCAGCTGTAAATTCAGCTATAGGGAGGAATTCACTCGTGTGGCTCCTCTTCCTGGGGGCAGTGTGGGAGGGGGCAGCAATCAACAGTCTTTTGTCCTTTGATGTTCATCTGCTGTGTGTGCGGAGGGGGGGGGGAGGGAGCGGAGGCTCCGTGTCTGGGCAGAAAACACCTGCTGGAGACTAGGCTCACTCCCCTTAATGCTTCTCCGCGGTCTGACGCGTTACCATTACAGACCAGACCTAACCATGACCTGTTACTCCCAGTCCCAGAGGGCCAGTCACTAACTGGGAGGCAGATGCTGCCAGTGAGATGAATGCAGACGGCCACTCCCAAGCATTTCACAAAGTCTAAACACATTCTTCTAATCCTGACCTGTTTGAACAGTACGACACACAGGGGAGCCAGCCGGGTGCCCGCCGTGCGTTTGTCGGTCTTCGGCTGAGACGTGGGGCTTCGGCATGAGCTGGGATGAGGTCTGCGAGCATCACCTTGGGATGCCATACTGACAGGGCACGTGGGCGGAGGGCCCATGGCTTTCACAGGGGCCGGGACACTATGCAGATGGAGCATATGGGGGCGTGTCCAGGGATGGCATGTGGGGCTGGTGTGTGTCCATTCCTGGTTCTCCGGCAGTTTCCATTTCAGGCAAATCCTGGACACAGAGGATGAGCTGCAGGAGATCAAGTCGGACGCGGTGCCGTCTGAGGTGCGGGACTGGCTGGCTTCCACCTTCACCCAGCAGACCCGCGCCAAGGGCCGGCGCTCCGAGGAGAAGCCGAAGTTCCGCAGCATCGTCCATGCTGTGCAAGCCGGCATCTTCGTGGAGAGGTTCGGAGCTGGGGGGGGACGACACAGGGGGCTGTCTGGGGGAGCTTGCAGGGTGCTGTGTCGGCATGGCGGAAGTGAGCAGTTTGCCTGGTAGAGGGGATTGTGAGCCTGGACCGGTGATTTCTGTTCCTGAATCTGGGAGGGTACTGGGATCTGAGCAAGGGGGAACGAGCTGGGACTCCTGGGTTCTCTTCCCAGCTCTGCGAGAGGAACGGTGTCCTGAGGTTAGAGTGGGGGAGCTGGGAGTCCAGATTCCTGGCTCCATTCCTGGATTTGGGAGGAGATAGTTCAGTCACCGCCTCGCTCTGTGCCTCAGTTTCCCATATGATGCCCAGGGATGCTCCCCACACTGGGTGCATGGGTGAAGAATGCATCTGTTGAGTATCTGCTGAGCACTCTGAGAGTCTGCAGGCAGGTTGGGCAGGGTCACACCCCTGTCCCCTTGCATGACAATGGGTCTGCTTGGCTGGGCTGGCCACCTGCCCTAGTGCCCTTTGGGGGCAAATGGGGAGCACGGCCCCAGCCTCACCTGCCCGCCTCTTGTAGGATGTTTCGCCGGACGTACACGGCCGTGGGGCCCAACTACTCCAACTCCGTCATCAACTGCCTAAAGGCAACAGGGTGTGTGTGTGTGTGTGTGTGTGTGTGTGCTGCTGCTCCCCACGCCCTTGACACTGCCTGCGCTCCTGACATGGCTATGGCTCCCCTGGGGGCAGAGGCTGCAGCCCGGCATCCTCTCTGCTACTCGCCCTTGTCGCCCTGCAGCTGTCAGAGCCAAGGGCGACTCTGCCCTGCCCTGGCAGAGCCAAAGTGCCCGTGGCTGGGGAGGGTCTCCTGGCCCAGCTCTGCCGTGTCCCATCCCAGCCCCCTCCTCCTGTGACGTGCCTGCCATGAGCCTGTTTGTATCGGCTGGGCAGGGCTGGCTGAGGGACAGGGCCGCCCACAACCTTAGGTGTCAGCCCCTCCTTCCCTGAGCTGGGGTACCTGTGCCCCTCCCCTCTTGCTCCCCTTGGTCATGCACTGTCCTCTGAGCCATTCCCAGCCCTGAGCTGGAGACAGGCTGTTTCAAAGGGGAATTCCCTCTGTCTGTAACTCTGCTGGCTGGAACAGGGCCCTGCCGCGGAAGCAGACTGTGCACCCCTCTCCACCCACGCTGCTCAGTGAGGGGGTGTGACACCCGCTCTGCCCTTCCCCCCGCAGACCCTGGACCTGTGGTGCTTTGACGTGTTTTCACTGAACAGAGTGACGGACGACCACGCCCTGCGCACCATCGTCTTCGAGCTGCTCACCCGACACAACCTCAACAGTCGTTTCAAGGTCAGCGCCTGCCACCGTCCCCTCACCCCCCATCTGCCACTTGCCCCCAACCCCCAGTCTCCTTCCTCCTCCGTGCCCCCCACTGACCCTCTGTCACCTTCCCCTCGCCCCCCACCTGCCACCTTCCCCTCACTTCCCCCCCGGTCTCCTCTGTCTGCCATGCTCCCACCCATCTTCTGCCATCTTCCCCACAACCCCTGCTAGCCCTCTGCTCCTCCCATGCCCCCTGCCCCACACCATGCCCCACCACCAGCTTCCTGCCCACTCAGCCCCAGAGGGCTGGAAGATCCAACGGCCAGTGGACCAGGTGATACTGGGATCTCAAGTCCAGATCTTTGCCCAGCTCTCAGCTGGAGAGGAGGTTTGAGGGACATAGTGTACAGGGGTGGCCAGCAGAGCAGAGACCTGAACACAGCTGCTCTGGACCCATTCTTGGGGTTGGGGGGTTGGCTGCTGGCTCTGTGTGTTGTTGGAAGGGCTGAGCCTTACAGAGGAGAAATCCCCTAAGCTCTTCTCTGAGCCAGCTGATGGGAACGGTCACGCTGATTTCCCCAGCTCCGCCAAGGCCTAGGTGCACGCCTGTGGGTATGTGTGTGCACTCACCTACGCATGAACATGGGTAATGCCTGCAGACCTTGGGCAGGATCGAACCTGGGACTTCTCCATGCTCGCTGCATGTGCTAAAAGCTCTTCGCTAAGGCTGTAGGGGTATGTCTACACTACCCCGCTAGTTTCACGAGGAGTAACGGTAGTTCGGACTAGGACCCTAGTCCGAACTACCTAGTTCGAGCCCCGTGTAGCCGCGCTACACGGGGTTCGAAGCAGCGGGGATTTAAAAATGGCGGCTCCCCGCTTATGCTAATGAAGCCCGGGAAATTCAAATCCCGGGCTTCATTAGCAAGTGCGGTATGCATACATTACCCTCCTAGTTCGAACTAGGAGGGTAGTGTAGACATACCCTAGGAGACTCCTCACTCTCTAGCTCAGGGTGGTTAATAATTTTAGATGAGGGGCCACTTCACTAATTTTTGAAGTGGCTTCGGGCTGCCCTGGAAGGGGCGGGGCCTCTGGTGGAGGGGGCGGGGCCAGGACACTTCCATGCTCCCCCGCCCATAGACTCTGATTAGCCTGGGCTTGGGGGAGCACATGAAGTCTTTGCCCCCAGCCTCCCCTGCCTAGAGGGAACTGCCAGCTGTTCTGAAGAGCTGGAGCTTCCCTCTAGGCACCTGCCCCCTTGTAGTGCAAGAGGAGACTTCACAAGCTGCCCCCAACCCCGGCCAATCGGGCGAGCAGTGCTGCAGGGCGGGGGCAGGGAGCAAGAGACTTTGTGTGCTCCTCCCACCCCCAGGCTCTGATTGACCAGGGGGGCCGGATCCCCCCGCCAGGCTGTGCCGGGGTGGGGGGGAAGCACAGTCGTCTCCATGCACCATCTGTCTCTGGAGCAGGCTCTCCTTCGCCCCTCCCCCTGAGCGAGTCTCCTCTCCCCCGCCCTAGCAGGGTTGGGACTTGGCAGACAGCACCTCCGCTCCCCGTCTCTTCTCTGCCTCTGCCTGTGGCAGGGCCCTGGCAATGTGGCACCGTCCCTGGGCCAGGCTGCTCCCTGGCAGTTGTGAAACAGGCAGGGCAGGACTGTGAGCCTCCGCCTGGCCCCGGGAGCCTGGTGCTCTTCATTCCCTGGCCTCTTTGCTGGTACTGCTGAAAGACACACCTGGCTTTACCTGTGGGAGCAGCACCAGCTGGATGGGGCCTGAGCCAATCTGACATCCGCAAACAGGGCAAGACCCCCCAAACCACAGGGGAGAGCAGGCCTTTGTTCTGAGGGCAGTCAGCGGCCTGTGGCCTAGAAGCCAGAGCACAGGTCTAAAAGGGTCCTTTTCCCACCTGGGCAGCCTTGAGCAAGTCACTTGAGCTGTCTCTGTGCCTCAATTTCCCCATCTGTCCTGCCTCTAGGGCTTATTACGTGCTGAGCTTTCTGGCTCCAGGACAAGCCGGTGGCCCTCTCTGGCATGCCGATACCACCGCAGTGCCCGGGAGGTGTCTGGCTTGCACGCGGTGCTGCGGCCTGACCCTGGTCTCCTTGCTCTGCAGATCCCCACTGTGTTTTTAATGACCTTCCTGGATGCGCTGGAGGCCGGCTACGGGAAATACAAGAACCCTTACCACAATCAGATCCACGCGGCCGACGTGACCCAGACTGTGCACTGCTTCCTGCTGCGCACTGGCATGGTGGTGCGTGGACACTGGCTGTGCCCCTGACCCCTTCCCAGGACTCGTGCTGAGGGTCACGGTCTGGTCTCTTCGCTGGCTGGTGGCTGAGGGGGGGAGGCGGGAAGATCAGGGCAGGCTACTGCTTCCTCCCTGGCGCTATGGGCAGGGGATCTCCCCACGCTCCTAGGCTCATCTGGGGAGGGGGAAGCTCCGTTTGGGCTCGAGGATCCAGAGCTTGGTTCAACCAGTTTTAGAGTCAGGGCCCAGCCTGGGGCTGAGTCAGATCCAGCCCCGCGTCCCCAGAGTTTGGGGGTCTTGGTCCAAGCCCTGTAAGTGCTACCTAGTTCCATGCAACAGGTATGTTGGTACCTAGGAGCGGCCTCTCCACCCTCACAGAAATGGGGTAAGTGGAGCTGAGGGCCCTTCTCCTAGCTCCCTGTGTGGGCCCTGCCCTGCCACCCCCTGCACCCGTCACCTACCAGCACAGCCCACGGCCCCTGGGAGGGAGGGAGGGACGTACATTTGGGGGTCACTATATTAAAGTGCTGCTGCCAACATCCCCCCGGCAGGTTATGCAGGAACAGGGGCAGGACGGGCAAGGGGGCTGAGCCGGGCAGGCCCCCTCCTGGGCACTAACAGCGTCTCTGCCCCCCAGCACTGTCTGACGGAGATTGAGGTCCTGGCCATCATCTTCGCAGCTGCCATCCATGACTATGAGCACACGGGCACCACCAATAGCTTCCACATTCAGACCAAGTGAGTGTCCAGGCAGCCACTCACGGCATGGCCGCTCAGCCCGGGATCCCTTGGGCCTCTGGGGAGGAGCTGGGCTTCACTGAGGAACTGGGGGTGGGCAAGGTGCCCATTGGCCAGGGAGCAGGGAGGGGCGGGGTGCCTGTGGGCCAGGCAATAGAGGAGGGGCAGGGTGCCTGTGGGCCAGGCAATAGAGGAGGAGCAGGGTGCCTCTGGGCCAGGCAATAGAGGAGGGGCAGGGTGCCTGTGGGCCAGGCAATAGAGGGGCAGGGTGCCTCTGGGCCAGGCAATAGAGGGGCAGGGTGCCTGTGGGCCGGGCGTAGATATGGGGTGAGGATGGGGACACCTCTGGGCTGGGCACCCTACAAGGGTTTGCATCAGTGGTGGGTGAGCAGCAGATACCATGAGAATTACCCTCCCCCATCGCTCTGGTCCTGCCCGCGTTCCTGCCCTGGCAAGGCCCAGACCCGGTCTGCATTCCAGTGAGGAAGGGTCGGGCTCACTCCAGCCTGCGCTTTGGGCTGGGTCGGCCCCACTGCAGCCTTTGCTTCTGCGGGGATCAGACCCACTCTGGGGGGTGGTCAGCCCACTCCAGCCCCCAGGAGCATGGGGCCTGCTCTTGCCTGCACTTGGGAGTTTCAGCTGCTCTAGCCTGTAGTTCTGGGGGAGGATCAGGCACTCTCCAGCCTGAGCCCTGTGGAGGATTGGGCCCACTCTGGCCTGCACTCTGTGGAGGATCAGGCCTGGCCTGTACTCCAGTGAAGAACTGGACCTTCTCCAGCCTGGGTTCTGGGGCAGAATCAGGCCCGATCTGGCCTACGCTTTGCAGGTTCACTCATCCCTCAGAGATGCAGTTGTGTGACAGGGAGCGGCTGCCAGCCTGGTGTGACAGGGAGCGGCTGG